AACCTCTCAGTGCGGCGAACTGTGTAACGACGTTGGACAGCAGCGTACTTGGTGTTGTTCTCTTCGACCATGCGACGGTAACGAGCCAACACAGCGCGGTACTGATGCTGATCATCTTGACGTAGTGGCATCAGTGCATGATGGAAGTTGGTCAAAGAAAAGGTAAGACGCTGGATTGCATCATAACTCTTGGTTCCCCACACGTACGTTGCGTAGGATATCTTCCAGAGAAGGCAAACACGTCCAAAAACGTTCTCCACGATAACTCGGTCGGAGGAGATGTTGGCGTTGCGGTCGAGGTCTGTACGGCCGAGGGTGCCGTTTGTTGGTCGCTTCTTTGGCTGGGTTGCTCGGGCGGACGATGTTAGGCGACAATAACCCTTGTCAACCAGCACAGCCCACGACGAAGGGAAGTCTTGGAACAGTTCCCCGTTGTCATTGATCAGTGACTCATTGCCAGACTTTTGTAGGGCTGCAAAGTGGGCATTAAGGCGATCGCGAAACATCGTGATGTCCGATACAGACCCCGGTTCGTGAGAACTCATGTCGACCAAAAGGCCTTCAGGTGAGACCGACGCGTCAATCTTAAGGCCGTACAATTTGTGCTTACCGCTAAAGTAGTGCTTCTGCTCACCAAATCTTCCTGACGGACGGTTTGTTGGCTGGAACTTCACGTCAGTAGCATAATTCGCGTACGGGTACGAACGGAACACACAGCCTTTGTCGCAAATTTCCGTCATCGTTGGCACGTTGACGAAATGCTCATACGAGACAGATTGGACCGTGTGGATGACGCGCATGACCATATTCTCCATCGTAGGTGCTTTCATACCAAAGTCGAGTGCGTGCTTCTGCCACGACATGTAGTGCTTCAAGACGACAAGAGTGAGAAAGAAGGCATCTTTGGGCGTTGTGTTGGAATTTCTGCCCCGGCCGTCGTTCACCGCGATGACAAGGTTGTTTCGATAACGGGCCAAGTGGTTTCAAATTCATTAGACAGATTTCGGAGAGCCAACCGTGAATTTGCCATCCATCAAAATTTTGAGGGATGGCAAAGTCACGGCACACGAATTGTTCGTTTCGAGAAAAGTCACCCGTGAATTTACCTTATCCGGTTGGTATGTAATTTACCTGCACAGCATGACACTCTTCGAAATGCTCACCATCGAGGAACTTGGTGCATTGACGGGGATCATCGAGCTTGCTGATCAGCTCCGCCTCCCGAGCGTCGTGGTGACTGAAGCGAACGACCGCTGCACTGGTGTGGAAAGTTTGTGTTGTGCTGAGCCGTCTATCCTACCCGCGACGATACTACGACATGATGCAATCATGGCCGATCGCGGGAGTCCCTTTGTCGTATTTTCAACTTTGTGGTGGACGTACTGTTTGCAAAATGGGAAGAATATTTGTTCTTTTGTTTGGATGTTGTGCGCCATCGTCTGAGAGCCTATTCTGCGTCCATTGCTCTGAAGGGTTCAGCCATGGAAAATATTTTTGGTTTCATCGACGGCTCGAAAGTCGAAATGTGCCGTATTACACAGAAGCGTG